GAAAGAGATGTAAATGAATTTTGTAACTTTGTCTTTTTGACGATAAAGTTTGACGTGCATCCCTTTATCTTTTAAAATTTAAGAGAACACCTTCAAATTTTATAACTTATAAGAAAAGACCCTAAAATTTCATAAATTTCGACGAGTGAGCTTGATTCGAATTCGAGTTCGAGCTTGATTCAAGTAGGAGTTGAAGTTTGGTTCGAGCAGGACTTGAAGTTTGGTTCGAGCTTCATACGAGTTCGAGCTTGCATTTTTTTGTGTTAAAAAATTACAATCGAGTTCGAGTTGAGTTTACTGGCCTATGATCTTTCATTCACATTTTTTTCCACCAAGAACGTTTTATAAAACTTTTTGACTCCCGAATTTGGAGTATCCTACTTTCACACAATTCACAGGGTTCAATGAAAGATCTCCCTCCAAGCCGTACATACGACTTTCATCGAATACGGCTGATCATTTTGATTCCATTAGTAATGAGGATTCGGAATATTATCGTCCGATCGTTACTGATGCTTTTGCTTATGTTCAATACATAATGACTGAAGCTAACTTTGGTTGGTTAATCTAAAATCAATTAGGCGTTGGGTCGATGACCGAGTGGTTAATGGGGACGAACTGCAAATTCGGAGTTTTTAACTACTCACGAGTTTTCAAGCTGAGTTCGAGCTTGAAAAATCGAGCTTGAAAAATGGCTATTGAATTTGAGTCGAGTATATTGATGCTCGAGCACGACTCGCATCATTACAACCCTAGTCTAGAAGGAACCGTAGATCTATGGTGAAGAGAGAGTCGTGGTTAAGCCTTCGACGAGGCTCAAATCTAGATCTGCAGGAGACGTGGAAGATGAAGTCGGGGGATAGGTTTCTTCGGTGTCGGGGGCGTGGAAGATGAAGTCGTCGCCAAAGGGAGGGGTGGGAGGTGAGGTATTGTCAGGAAGATGATTGGGTTTCATATATGTATTGTATTTAATATAGGGCAAAATGTGCGAAATAGCAATCTACCACGACAAATTTTCTTATTATAGCTTCTGCTTCCAGTTTTTCTTATATACAGCAATGTACTTTCAAAATATTTTTATTAGGTGATCGTACCTTTAAAATTTTACCCGTTATATCATTGGGTAACCTTTTAAATAATTTTACCCATTATACCAAGTTTTTTGCCACCTCTGTACGATAGTGCTGACATGACATTTCTTATTATAGTATTGTACTTTCATAATTATGTTATTACAACATCACCAATTTCTATTGCAGCATTATACTTTTAATTTTAATATTTTTATCATTTAAACATTGTAAATTTAATCAAGTATGCTTACTAAAAATTATAATAATAAATTATATCGGTGATGCTTGTATATGTTAGCTATTTCGATTTATTTGCAGAGTTTTAAGAGTGAGTGTTTTTCTATTTAAAAAATATAATATTTAATTTAACAAAAATACTTACATAATGGCAAAAAAAAAAATTAAATTTCATGTATTGTTTAATATATTATTGCAGATATGTTAATGCTAAAAAAAATTATCGATTTGGGTGTCTTTTGTCTTCTATAATATGTCAAAAAACAAAAATAATAAAAAACGATATTATAATCTTAAAAAAAATATTTATTATAATTTTGAGTAAACATATTTGATTAAATTTACAATGTTTAAATGATAAAAATATTAAAATTAAAAGTACAATGCTATAATAAAATTTGGTGATGTTATAGTAAAGTAATTTTGAAAGTACAATGTTATAATAAGAAATGTCATGTCAGCCACTATCGTACATGTGGACAGCTTATGTGGACGAGGAGATGGCAAAGAAACCTAGTATAATGAGTCAATTTAATTTAAAAGGTCATCCAATGCTATAACAGATAAACTTTTGATAGTACGATTTCTTAATAAAAAATATATTGAAAGTACATTGTTGTAATAAGAAAAACTGAAAGTATAATGCTATAAGAATTTTTTTTGTAAAACTATGTTTGTTATTTCATGCATTTTACCCTTTAATATAATAATAATATATAGTAAATTACATAGGTGGCCTATGTGGCTTTTAATAGAAAATAAGACAAGAAAAAAAAGAGTAAAGTAAATAAAATACTCCTTTGTTTGACCTAATTAACAAAAAAAAAATTAATGAAGTTAGATTTAAAGTACCCCTCTGAAGTATAATTTTGAAGAATGATTTTTTAGACTTGTAACTCTAAAATATAATTCTGAAGAAAGACTATTCAAACTTGTAACTCTAAAGTATTTTTCCCCCGAACTCTAAAGTCTTCCTTTTCAGATCTCTGAAGATAAGTCTGCAGACTTCCAAATTGCTTTAATAAACTCTTCATGATATTTAGGACAATTTTGATCCTAACAGTTAGTATTACAAATATGGATTTATAAACTTGATTTGGTGTTTTTCACCATGTAATTGCATAAAAGGGATTTCTCACTAGACCTCAAGATCTAACCCTCATTTTGTGTTTCAAAAATGTGCATTATAGGTCGGGATCAATCTAGGAAAAGGGAAAAGGGAAATTGTGAGATGTCTTATATGCTTACATGGGATGTGGAGGACATCATGCTTATATGTGGTCTTTTTGGAATACTTGTTATATATACAGGTTTTGTATATGGATTTTGTGGAAAAATTTGTTAGCTACTTTTATAATCTAGTTTTTGTATATTTGGGACCGAATATGTAAATTAGTATTTCTTGATATATAAAATACTTGGTTATATGCAAATGTGGTTCTAGATTGTTACAGTCAGAGCGACGAAAAGTGAAATAAAATGGCAATCACGGTAACCAAAATTGTAATTAGTTTGATAGAGGGACCAAACTTGTTAATAGATGACAACCACAATGACCAAAATGTAATTTCTCTTGAAAATGTGGATGAAACTTAAAAAGGATTCAGATTTTCATTTTGAGGGTGTATTTGAGTATTTATGTTGCAATAAAAGCTATTGAATTAATAAACTAAAAAAAATGAGTATTTATGTTGATTAGAATTATCAATGAGAAAAAATGGTTACTTCCTTAATGTTGTTTAAATAACATAAAATGATGATATGTAGTGTTTATCCATGTTAGTATTGTTTATAATGGATCTGAATGGTTGATTGTGTCCAGACGCAAGTTGTTGGAGGTCGCACAGAAGGTTAAGGTGGAGTCAGTAAATTGCCTGCAAGCTTATGTCGCGAAGGCAAGACCAAAACGACACCATGAGCTTGCTTTTGAGGTCGGTTCTAGCTAGTTAGGTCTGGTAATATGCGAGGTCAGAAATAAGCTCGCATTGGTAAACGTGAGGTTGAAAGCAAACTTAATCTTGCATACAACTTCTGTCGGTTTGCAATATGTTAAAAGTAGTATGTTTTCAGTGCTAGTTTAACAATAGTGATTAGCAGTATTATGGGCACTTAGGATGTATGTTATATCATGTAAATGCATGTATTAGTAACGTTACAATACCAGATCAATGTTAGAAACTTCCACGATTAGGTTCCTATATGACGCATACCTTCTATGATATGAAAATTAGTTTCATGTTATATGTTAGATGTTTATTTAAACTATATTAGCATGCTATTAACATCTTCATGTACCTATCATATTAACCACAAAACATTATTTTTAGCATGTATGGGAACAAAAACCAAGACATTATTCCAGTTTCAAAAGAGTAAAGATCATAGCATGTTGCAACTTACAAAGACCTCTATACTGAGTCAAGGTGTATATGTGTATGTACATCTGACAAACTTATGGGCTGATGGTTGTATGTATGTCCATATGTATTTCAAACAACGTTCCAGTATTTGCTTAACATGTTATACAAAAATGGTTCAAGAGTATGGCTTATGTGTGGTATATACATTCACAACATGATTTCAATATTATCCATTGTGATATTTTCAATATTTTAATATGTAAACAATGTACTTACCGAGTTTATATAGCTCATTAGTGTTATGTATCTCAAAAGAAAGCTAAGAACAGAATAGCAAGGTGAAGGGAATTCCTAGTTGACCGGTAGACATTTTTCATGTATTCCAGATGTTTTTCAATTATTTCTATTATGCTAGTTTGATGTGGGATGAACTATCAACTTTCAGATATTATTATCTATTTCAATTATAGATAACCTTCAAGGTGTGATCGATCCAACCGTCTTTTGCTTTTCAGATAACAAGAAGGCGAGCTTCTCTGCTTTAATCAAAACAAAATCCTAGATCTACAAAAAGGGAGTGAAAACCCCAAACACACTTCTTTTAAGTTCCTCCTAATTACACAACTCACATATAAGCCAATAATGATTGGAGTAGGGGTCTAGTTTGGTAATGGAGGTTGGTACCCTTCCACAGAGCCTTGGTACATATATACATACAAAGGCAAGTGTTTGTTTGTACATACATATATATATATATATATATATATATTGTATTTTGAGGCATCTATTATTTGATATGTGTGGGGTTATATTGGTCATGTTCCTTCCTGAAGATTAGACTGTAGAGCATATTTTATTAAATGCAAGTGTTGGTGACATTTTGGATTGATGCCATTCATGAATGATGTGCCTGGCCCCTACTAACATCAATAAATATACAATAACAAATACCAACTTATTTTGTAAATGTTAAGAGGAAACAAACAAGTTGAACCCCAAAATAATGGAATGCAACCACCACTACCATCAAAGAACATATATAACCAACATCATTTGGCTTAAAAGTTTTGGGGTTATATGCCAACCTAAACAAGTATTTAAAATTCAAAAGCCAAATAATGATGAAGAAACAAATCATAAATCTACCCAAAAAAAGACAAGAATGAACCACCATAAGCTGCCTTCATACATTCAAAACATATATATATATATATATATATATATATATATA